ACTATAATGGAAACGTGCCAACCCAGTGAAATCAGAGATCGGAAGCAAAGAGGTTGTAAGATGTATTTGCTAGGCTATCGATATATCCAGAAGCGGCTGATCTAGGTTAGCTAGCTGTTATAGGAGAACTTGAACACGGCGTACCCACTCGTGATCTGGTGCGGTTGCACGACCGAGCGCCTCCAGCTAGGTGAGTCAATTAAGACTAATGTGGTCAGCATCAAATGTCGAAGACTTACAGAGCCATTTATTTTGAGGACCCATTAACCACTACAGATCACATTCTCTTAGTGGGACAGTGGTGACGCTAACATGTGGCCAGCCATAAGTTTAAGCCCAACTAGTTAATCGTTGGTAAACACTCTTCTGACAGCTTGCTATGTTCAGCGGCGTCTGTTCGTCTTCCATTACAACAAGAGGCCATGTGGTCCAATGTAATCATGAAAAACGGACACAATAGAAATTTTAATCTATCGTAAATTTCGTCACTTTTTATCTCTTCTAGTACGGCTGTAAATGAAAAAAAGAATACGTTACTGCTTGTCGAATTACACTCGTGTGTGCGTAAAGACACAAAATGTGCAAAAAATGAAAAAACTCATATACATGCCTTTTGTACAAATGCATTAGCGTGAAAACGATATTCGCAGAATGATGTTTTTGGCTTTTTGAAAAAACAAAAATATACGCATGTGAGCAAGCATAATAGCGACGACTTTTTAATTGCCTGTCCCGATTTTCAATCACATAACTAGCATGAAAATGATATGAACATATGTCAAAGTGTGTCTTCGCTGTTGGAACTCTAGGATTTCTCGGGCACACAATAAGCCCAGGAAATAGTATGTAACAGTATGCAACCATGCGCCTGGCCTAAGCGAAATTCCAAGGAAGCGGGAAACGACTAAACCCTCCCCAGGTCGCGACGACTGAAGAGGTGCGCCTAGACAGTCGCTTGTTTTATGTTAGAGACAGAAACTCTGGCTTGAATTTCTTGATAGATATTGGCTTTAATCTTAGTATCATCCCTCAAAATAAAACTGAGCTGAGTCGAGAAACATCCTCAGTTACACTTCAAGCTGCCGATAAACTAAAATTGCGACATTTCTGCAGAAAACTCTAACACTGGATTTGGGGTTCAGGAATCAATTCCCCTGGGTTTTCACTGTAGCCGATTTAGATCTCGCAATACTGGGGATGTACTTTCTGGAGAGATACGAATTTCTAGTTGACGCCAAGAAACGATGCTTAACACTGAAAGAAACCTCGAATTACACAAACGGCAAAGAAAGTCACATCAACTCTCTTAACTTGATTCAAACTCCTCTAGTAACAACAGCGAAATTCCAAGATATACTCGCAGCATTTTCAAACTTAACTAGACCAAACGCACAGCCTTCCAAAGACAAGCTAAAAGTAAGTCATACTATCAAAACTGAAGCTGAACCTGTTTTGCAAAACCCAGGAGACTAGCACCAGATAAGCTCAAAATCGCCAGGGCCGAATTCGACTACATGCTACAACTGGGTATTATCCGTCCCTCTAGTAGTCGATGGACATCCCCTTTGCATATGGTCCCAAAGAAGAATGAACGCGATTGACGACCGTGAGGGGATTACAGAGTCCTCAACCGTCAAACCGTACCCAGTATTGCATATCCAAGATCTCACAAACGTCTTACATGGTATTAACATATTTACTAAAATTGACTTAGTCAGGGCATGTCACAATATCCCGACGGCTGATGAAGGCATCCTCAAAACAGCTATTACTACACCCTTTGGCTTATTCGAGTTTGTACCCATGCCATTCGGCCTGAGAAATGCGGCACAGACATTTCAAAGATTCATAGATAACCTACTTCGAGATATGCCATTTGCGCAGGGGTATATAGACGACTTGTTAATTGCCAGCCCCGATTTGCAATCACACGAACAGCATGTACAAGCAGTGTTGAAAAGACTGGATGAACATGGAATGAACATACATCAAAGTAAATGTGTTTTCAGTGTTCGAACCGTAGAATTTCTCGGTCACACAATAAGCTCAGAAGGGATTAAACCTATAAAAAAAGAAGTGGATACTATCAAACAATACCCCGTACCTAGTTCTCTAACACAACTGAGAAGTTTTCTAGGCCTAATTAACTTTTATCGCAGATTCATACCAGGTTGTGCACAATTAATGCAACATTTGACAGATTCACTTAAAGGAAAACCAAAAGAATTCAAACTGTCTTCTGACGCCATCGAAGCTATTAAACAGCTTAAAGATAAACTGGCTCAAGCAACTACGTTGATATATCCGAATTCTCTTTCCCCACTTGCTTTGATGGTGGATGCTTCAGATAAAGCAGTAGGCGGTACCCTTAATCAACTGGTTAAAAACGCCTGGAAACTAATTGCTTTCGTCTCGAAAAGACTCGCTCCAGCAGAGACAAGATATTCTATATTCGGGCGAGAACTTCTTGCTATCTACTTGACCATTAAACACTCCCGACACATCACAATTGATTGATCACTGGGTGGTGATCAATGTCATGCTTGTATAGTCCTTATTAGTGCAGATCGAATGCTATCGATCATGTTGCAATGTGGCCACCAGTCTAGGTGACTCGACACTGTGGGCACTATGTATTGAGATTAGATGGTGGTTGGAGGTAGTCAACAGGAAACCCTGGACCCGGGTTTTGTGCTACTTGGCACTCGTCAGCAAGGTGTACCTGTAATCTTGAGGGAACTGGTGCTCCCTGGCGGATTCGATCTCGTGTCACCCAGCTTCACAGTCAGAGACGTTACCACTAGGCCATCTGTGCCCTCAAGATTACAGGTACACCTTGCTGACGAGTGCCAAGTAGCACGAAACCCGGGTCCAGGGTTTCCTGTTGACTACCTCCAACCACCATCTAACTTCCGACACATGTTAGGAGGCGGGGAATTTATAGTCTTTACGGATCACAAACCACCAACGAATAGATTAAAAGCGAGAGCCGATAAATACTCACCTCGAGAAGTCCGACACCTTGACTATATATCACAGTTCACAAGCGATATCCGACATGTCAAAGGTCAGGACAATCAGGCGGCAGATGCTTTATCCAGACTAGAAATGAACGTGCTACAGCAGTCTACAATAAACTTCGAGACGTTAAGACACGAACAAGAGCAGGACCTAGAATTGCAAAACCTACTTAAAACAAACAATTCAAGTCTTAATTTAAAACAATTCCCATCACCTATCGATGGTATTCTAATTTACTGTGACACGACAAAGGCAATGTCGCGACCTTTCGTTCCCGAAAGTATGCGAAAATTGATATATAATAACTTTCATTCTTTGTCTCATCCTGGCACAAAAGCTTCAACTAAACTAATCAATGCCAGATATATATGGCCGAAGTTACAGAAGGATGTACACACGTGGGTTAGAGAGTGCCCAGCATACCAACAATAAAAGATTAATCGTCACACAAATTCACCCATAGGTGTTTTCTCGCAACCAGATATATTAAGTTGAACTCTAAAGGGTTTTCTTGCTGTGGCTTTTCTACCTCTAGTAATACTCAGATAAATAAGTACTCGAACTAGAGCACGATCCAAGTCTAAACACGTGCTCCAGAATAAACGACAGTCTTCGCTAAGAAAGCCTGTTTTCCCATCTGACACAAGGTCTGAAGATTGAAAGCTCCATTGTTTAGCTTAGTGAGTTGTCTCATAAGACCAAGAAAAGCATTTCACGAACCAAAATTAGCCTCGGTGGAGATTGGTGATAAATGTATATGAGAAGCGTTGATCGTGGGAATGGAAGTGTTTTTATTGAATGAGTGAGGAGTTCGATCGTCAACGTAATGATCTCGGGTGCTGATACAGATGTGAGGGCTTCTGTCACTCCCCATTTGCTCGCACTATGGAAGGATATCTCTTTTCAAAAGACCTGAAGAATGAGGTGAGTTGATGGTGGTGATCTCAATGATGTGGAAGGGTGACCGGAGAGCCTAGGGACAACTGCTTGATGTATGAGCTCTGAACATCAAACGGCTTAGGCTCCGGAAGTTCGTGGGATAAGGTGAGGCTCGACATTTTAGAAGTCGGCCCTTTCTAAACCTTTAATTCCTTTGTGAGAAGGCAGCATCTCTGCAGATGCTTGCTGTTCGAGAGGAAGAAATTACAACTGTCACAGCCCTCCACGGTCAGCAGTACAACTTCGCCCCCGGGATTCGAGTTGCTGCTTTTAGTATTACTGTTCTTCAATCGATCTTTCCGTGATAATACGTGTGTTCCAGCCGATATGGCTTCAGTCATCACGATCGGTAAATCCGCATTAGGAAAAACGAAGTACTCGAAACACTTTATTCTAACGAACAACTCCGTTCGTACGGCTGAGACAGAGAATGAAATGAATTCTGTACTTCTGGTTTGAATTAAACCAGAACGAACAGAATAACATCAATCCATTATATTTTGAGGTTTCTCATCAGCTGCCTAAACTCAACTACGTACTAAGATTTTACATCGGGGAACAATTGATACGAGTGAATGTCAAGAATCGGAACGACAAACGTCATCAATAATAACTATATATGTGTGAGCCAGAAGAGGTCAGAAGTTATTTGGTGTTAGAATTAAGAAAACATTAGGGATTGGTGACGTGATAGTTGAGCTAAGTTCTGAGACAGATTGGATAAATTATGTGATGATTTTAGGGGTAATGAAGGGTTTATATAAGATTCATGGAACTAAAAAACTGGTTAGATGGGTTACATAATAATTGAATGGGATCTGAACAGTTTACATAATGTAAGATAATCGAGTGAGCGGAAATGTATAACTGAAGTAGTGATTTAATAATTCGATAATGGAAGAGAAATAAAACAAACTGAACACTGACAAAACAAAATTATTGACAAATCAATTTGCACAACAAATAACTTTACTACTCCTTTTACAATAACACAAGAAACAGTTTGAGCTTCGAAACCCGTTTGTTTGAATATCTCGTCCGGGAGTTTCGGTTTCGCATTCGCTGAGTAACCTCATCATAGGTAGAAATGGGTGATCAGGCGGCGGTGCGTATTATGTCTTTTAAGAATGCTGGCAAGAGTGCAGACGTAAGTATAAGTGCTTTTTGTTATCATGCTTTTACCTTAGGAGATGCGACGTCGTCGTCAGGAAGGGCAAGTGGAACTTCGCAAGAACAAACGAGAAGAAACACTTCAAAAGAAAAGGAACATTCCTACTGGAACTAATGGACCACAGACGGCTAATGATCCCGTTGACACAGAAATCGATGGGACTGGAAAGTCTACGTTACTAAATCTGGAATCCATAGTAGCGAATGCTGAGAATGAAGATCCAGCTGTCAGATTGTTGGTCGTTCAGTCAGCTCGTAAGCTTCTTTCCAGTGATCGGAATCCTCCTATTGACGAGCTTATAAATGCTGGTATGCTACCAAAGTTGGTCGCCTGTCTGACAAGTGAAGAGTAAGTCAATCCCTCTGCAATCCATTCCTTCCACAAACGGCTCCTGAATTAGTCGCGTTTAAGTCTTTAAGAATCGATTTTATCGAACATGTTCAAATCTCTTTTATCGTAAATAGACCGGTAGGCTCAGGTACTAAGTCTGACCAGTTTGGCTATTCGTTATAGTATATTCAGTAAAATTAGTAGGTACGACTTTGCGGCAAAATGGTGGTTAGTTAGTATTATCACCGTGAGTCGTTTGTGAAATTATCATGAATTCCCAGTCCGGTCTTTATAGATGTAAAGTAAACTCGCAACTAAAGATATCTTGACCAAACTATTGAATAAGTCGCATTCTCTATCCCCCCACTTCATTTTTTATTGTTAGTTATTCTGCAGACACCTAGCGTATGTGGCTGATCCCCTAGTGCCAGATTTTATGCTAGATATAACGCCAGGTATTTTGTGCTTGTAGGGGTGGTGAGTTGGTTCTCATGTTCAGATATTAGTCCTCAATCCTTACGCCATTTTGAGGATTCAGCTAAACAACATTGAGCTATGGGTTTTGAATCATGTGATAACTAGAGACGAGTGGTTTTCGCGCTGCAGTTTCTTTCACTTAGTGAATACTATGTCTAGTGTTGGGTTCTCGTTGGTCCTCAGTTCAGCTTGACGAGTTATGTAGTATTGGCCAAAGCGCTTGTTCCTTGGGTTTTTGCCATACTGAAATCGATTGGTAGTCAGACCAAATCTAGGGAATCAGGTTTGTAGTTAAATTTCTCCGGATTGTAATAGGATCTAAACTTTCTCACCGAAAATCATCTTAGATATCACAATGAGAGCGATTAAGCAAGTCAACTTCGGGCTCACACGGCCCTGATGTTTAGTTAGCACAGTAGGAACCTTTATCGAGGATACCGTCTGTAATATATCTCAGACAGTTATTACCTGGATTTGTCTCTGCTGACATCGTAGAGCATCTGTTGAACTCCTTAGGTAACAAATACACTTCAGAACTGGTTTGGGTCATAGCTTGGATTGACAGTGTAACCAGTCCATTTGCCTTGGAAGTACCAAGCCTGTGTTTGGCTGATGAGGTTTCTGCACGTCCTAAATAGTTCCATGGCTTTTTTAATTCTGTATTTTGACATAGATATGCGTTTATCTACTAAGCGACGAACATTACTACTCAGTAGTCCACTCTGTTACTGTTTAGCCGCAAAGCTTAGTCTAAGAAAGCAAAACACCCGTAGACTGGCAACGTGATAAGTTTCTTCGTAGGATTCTGCTTATTCATATACGACAGCCAGCTTAGTAACTGTGACATTGTTTGACATGCTTTTTTACTGATTAAGGCGACCGAATCATTTATTACACATATGTGACTGCTCGGTCACGGTACGCAATACTGGTTAGGGTGTAATCAAGCTAGTCCAAAACCATAGCCCGTCAAAGATGGGATATCAGCCCATGAAATCATTGTAGAACTAAGCCGTTGTTGATGATGCAGAACATCTGATTACGCCCATAATAAGTTAGTAGAGCAGGTCCATGCGTGCCCGTATTAGGGCATGGTCGGAGTCCAAGCAGGTACTCCAGAATGAGCGACAATCTTCTACCGACCCTCTCCAACGATGACTGATGGCAATATGGTCTATTTGAGTCCATCGTTGGTTTGGTGTAGGGGGTCGCCATGTTAGACGATGTCTCTCCTTATGCTTAAAATTTGTGTTTGCTAAAAATAAACGATTGTCTGAGCATAGCTGCAGCAGACGATCACCATTATCTGTTCGCTGTGTCGGAATACTAAAATATCCACCTAAATGCCTTTCTGTTTGGTTTAAACTGCCTATTTGAGCATTAAAATCACCTGCTACGAGTACTATGTCTGAGCGTTTAGCTTTCTGAAGAAGTTCGGACAGCTTTCTGTAAAATTCGTCTTTCACATCATCTGAGCTGCAGTCAGTGGGAGCGTAGGCAGAAACGACAAAAAGGCAACGACGTGTGTTCCTATCCTTCCGAGTTCTTACGTAGCCGTTCAGCCGAACAGCACATAGACGACTGTTGACGGGGATCCACTCTAGCAGTGCTTGTTCGGCCCTCATGCTTAGTGCTATGCCTACACCTGCCAGTCCACGAGAACTTGCCATCGGGTCACCAGATACACGGAGGGTGTATCTCGTTGGCTCTCCGTTTTGCCGAGGTGAGGTCAAGTGAATAACCACACTGGAATCCTGTATGCGTGTTTCGGAGACACAGCACACGTCAATGGTAAGAGACTAGGGTTTTAGCCAAGGAAGCCTGCTGACCGATTTGACATAGGGTTCGTGCGTTGAAGGCTCCAATGTGTAGTTTGGAGCGAGGTTTCAGTAGACCTGGGACAGTATTTTGCGCACTAGAATCGTTGGCTATGGTGACACTTGAGGTGGAAGCCGAGAGAGGAAATTTAAAGTTGAAAGTCGATGTAGGAGGAATAATAGGAATTGAAGAGGGAGGTTGATTATGAATACAGTGGTCTTGAGTGCTGTTAGAGGTATGAGGGCGGTTTTCACTTCTCGGTTGCCCACACCGTGGAAGGGTTGTTCTGGGGGTACCTGAAAAGGAATTTGGATTAAAGGTGGTCTTAGTGACCTGAGAGCGTGACCGCAGTGCCCAAGGGACAACTGCTTGAGGTCGGTCACACACGACCTTGTTATGGGTAATTTTTGTGTTAGCTCCGTACTTATTGAGACCTTACCGCCGGAGACGGATATCCGTGGGATAAGGCGAGGTGTGTATTTTTAGGGTCGACCTTTTCTAACCCCACCCCTCCTTGTGGGAAGGCAGCATCGCTGTCATGCTGGTTGTCTGAAGGAAACACCTTACTGCTGTCACACCTCTGTACAGTCAGCAATACGACTTCGCCTTCGGACCTTGGGTTTGTTGCTTTTAGTCTTACCGCTCTTCAACCGACCTGTCTGACATGGTAGGACCTTGAGGAACGGTTGTTCCAGCCAGTATAGCTCGGTTGCTTCATCACGATAGGCAAGCCCGACCACGTCAAGGTAGCAACAACGGTCGGGAACCAGTGGATTTCTTCAAGGTCTGTCACACTGATGTATTCTCGCAAACTCGTTTCATCAGGTTCTGAACATGATGAAGAGCGAAAACAAATCAGATCTAGGTTAAGAAAAAGTCTAAGAAACGACCGTGAGCAGTGGTGGGCATCGAAAGCAAAAGAGATGGAAAAGGCGGCGACTATAGGGAACACAAGACAGCTTTACAGACTAATAAAAGAAACTGGAATTAATAAGTCAAGTGTAAGTGAGATTATATCGGAAAAAGACGATACACTCATCTGCTCCAAGTCCAGGCGTTTAGAACGATGGGCGGAACACTTTAGGTAACAGTTCAGCTGGCCTTCAGCTTCTCTACAACTACCCCCCATTCCCAGACAGTGTGAATGGAACATTGAAGTAGGTCCCCCGACTCTTACTGAAGTTCAAAAGACTGTAGTTAATCTGAAACGAGGAAGGGCAGCTGGTCCAGATGGATTGGCTCCAGAGGTCTTTAAGGATGGTGGTCCAATTTTAGCGATTAAATTGACTAATATTTTAGCTAAGATCTGGGAATTAGACTTTATCCCATCTGACTGGTCGCAATCACTTATCGTCCCAATATATAAGAAAGGGTCAAAATCATCCTGTGACAACCACAGAGGGATTAGTTTAACAAACATAGTATCTAAAATACTGGCCTCGATAATTATCAAACGCCTAACTAAGACTCGTGAACTACAAACTCGAGAGAACTAAGCTGGCTTCAGACCTGGTCGTGGCTGCATCGACCACATATTCACCATTCGTCAGGTTCTAGAACACAGGCATACCTATCGGCGTCCGACGATGGTGGTATTTCTCGACTTAAAAGCAGCATTTGACTCGGTAGACCGCGAGACTCTGTGGCAGTGTCTGTCATTGAAAGGCGTACCTCAGAAGTACATAAACCTTGTGAAGGCTCTTTACTCGAACACTACTAGTCGAGTCAGGGCTTATGGCGAACTGTCATCTACTTTTGCAACCTCAAGTGGTGTCCGTCAAGGCTGTCCACTTTCTCCATTTCTGTTTAACTTCATCATAGACCTATTGATGGAAATAACACTCGTCGATTGAATTCTCGGGTATTGATCTCCTTCCAGGAGGTCCACTTATCGACTTAGAATACGCAGATGACATAGTCCTGTTTGGTGAAGACGCTGACAAAATGCAGAGTCTTCTGGCAGCACTAAGCAACAATGCCAGAATGTTTGGGATGCGCTTCTCTCCCTCTAAATGCAAGTTGTTGCTTCAGGACTGGTCTGGGTCAACACCTGAACTAAGAATAGGGAGTGAAGTAGTTGAACGCGTTGACAACTTCACTTATCTTGGAAGTCTGATCAGCCCTAATGGGTTGGTGTCGGACGAAATCTCAGCACGGATTCGAAAAGCTCGCTTGGCTTTTGCCAACTTACGTCACCTTTGGCGAAGGCGAGATATCCGTCTATCATTAAAAGGACGAGTATACAGCGCGGCAGTTCGTTCTGTTTTACTTTACGGCAGCGAAACATGTCCCTTAAGAGTAGAAGACACCCGTAAGTTACTAGTATTTGACCACAGATGCCTTAGAAATATTGCTGGGATCACCGGGTAAGTAATAGTGAGGTTAGACGCAGGGTATTAGGGAATGATGGTAAATCAGTTGATGAGGTTATGAATCTTCATCGACTGAGATGGTTGGGCCACGTATTACGTATGCCTGAACACCGATTACCACGACGTGCAATGCTAACCGGGGTAGGGGATGGTTGGAAGAAAGTTAGGGGCGGCCAAACCAAAACGTGGCATCAGTGCCTGAAGTCACTAACTTCTAGTCTGAGCCATGTTGGTAGATGCAGATTACTTGGTTGGGGTCCGCGTGACTTTCGTAACCAATGGTTGGAGACTCTTGGTGACATGGCTCAGAATCGATCACAATGGCGTCGGTGTATACACTCCCTGTCTTCCCTTAAACTAAGAGACTAAAATAACTTCATTCTTTCTGTCTACGAACTAATTCTTTCTTCCTATACTATATCCTTATTGCAACCTTTGACCTAACCACTCCTATGAATCTGCTGTTCATCTTGCTGTGCTAATGAGGTATGGCAACCTGGACCGATGCACATATGTGCCTGGTCCTACGTTGTAGCTGACTGACTGAGAGCAGGTCCATTTACTCTTCATTCCCCAGATACTAAGTTTTAATGTTCATTCATACTTTCCATTCTGTTCTTCGAACATTTTTATCAGCATTTCGTCTTCACTATCATCATAATTGCTTGTATTGTCTCGACTCCTTAGCATTTCATCTTGTTAGCTTCATCTCACTGTGCTAATGTAGAAAATGACACTTGGATTAGAAACATGACCAACTGACATGTTTTCCTCGTATTCTATTAAAACTTAAGTACTTCAAAGCAGTCTGCCGTGTGTTATACATATACATCAAATGATCACTGATCGAGAGACCTGACTACTGTTAGAGTTTTCAAAACTGTGCCTGAGACATCAAGTACGCTGGACTCGATTTAAGGTCCTACGTTTGTCTAGACTTTCAAATGGTTCGACTTCTCAGGTATTTCTAGAATTAGAGCGTACCCGATAACGTTCGGAAATTTGAAATGATCGAAACCACTTGTTGATCAAACCTAATATCTAGCTGAATCATTGCTGACAATACATCTTTTATTTTAGTCCCAATCTTCAATTTGAAGCTGCCTGGGCCTTGACGAATATTGCATCCGGCACATCTGGACAGACTCTAGCTGTTGTTCAAGCAGGAGCCGTACCACGTTTTCTAAAGCTGCTGTCTTCTTCACACCCTAATGTTTGCGAACAGGCTGTTTGGGCCTTAGGTAATATAATCGGAGATGGTCCTGTATTAAGGGATTACGTAATCAAATTGGATGTCATAAAACCACTATTAAAGCTCTTAACACCAAATATACCATTGAACTTCCTACGCAATGTCACCTGGGTGATGGTCAACCTTTGTCGCAACAAGGACCCTCCTCCTCCTGCCTCAGCTATCAGAGAACTTCTCCCGGCTCTCTTATATTTAATAAAACACACCGATGATAGTGTAAGTTATTCCATGTTTTTAATCTATATTTTGACGTTCACAGCTATATGTGGATATGGACTACAATAACTAGGAATCGTTTTGTTTATTACTAACCTCACTTAATAACCAGTGCCAATTCTTATTCGTTAATCCCATTCCATACAGTCTAGGTGCTGATTTTCACATTTACTTTTAACCCGATATAAATCTTCCGATCCACTTGAAAAACCTAGCTTGTAAGTGTAGACAGCAAGTTCATCTACACATCATAAAAGTGCATTGTTTACCACTAAAAAGTGATTTCTCAAAATCCTCGTTTACAATAAGTGTAGCAAGTTTACTTCATCCACTGATTGTGTAATTGTAAAGTATGCAGTAATTCTTGATGCTATCGGGGATGATTTCGAAAGTAAGCGACTTCAGAATCTCCATTGTCCAATTAAGTGCACAAATTCAAAACCTATGTGTTATGTGGTAAAAATAACCCCATCTCATTCAAGTTTGTGAAACGAAATTACGAAACCGGATAGGCTGTGGTCGTGTTACGTATTGTGTTAACCTTATGTCAGTTTGTTGCATCTCGACTTCTAAGGAAGTGAAAAATCCTTATTGTTCAGTCGTAAATATTGTACTATTCTACGAAACTACGTGGTCAGAATAACTTTTTAACCGTCATTGATTTTCAGTCAAATAAGTTTCATTGTAAGCATATAATAAGTATTTATTGCGAGTTCGTTGAAAGCAAGATAAGTAAAGGTACTAATTTCTTAGGTTTTGTAATCAACTTAGAACCATACAAACTTCTGTCACATGTATTATACACTGGGTCACAAAAGTTAGTGAGACTTGCATAATGTCAGCCTACTTAAACGTTTTTTTTATTTACTTGCGGTCTTGTAAATTTCCAGATTCTCGTCGACACTGTTTGGGCTATATCTTATCTAACTGACGGTGGAAACGATCAAATCGAAATGGTTATAAATGCAGAGATAGTGCCTCATTTGGTTCCATTGTTATCACATTCAAGTTTCAAGGTGCAAACTGCTGCGTTGCGTGCCGTTGGAAATATAGTTACAGGTTCAGACCAACAAACTCAAGTTGTTTTGGATTGTGGAGCTCTAAGTCATTTTGCATCTTTGTTGACTCACCCGAGAGATAAAATTAACAAAGAAGCTGTCTGGTTTCTATCCAATATTACTGCAGGGAACCAAAGTCAAGTCCAAGCTGTGATAGACCATGGACTAGTCCCGTTAATTATCCATCATCTGGCTGAAAGCGAGTTCTTGACACAAAAAGAAGCTGCATGGGCTATCTCGAATCTAGCGATCAACGGAAATGCTGAACAGGTGTGTTTTTTTGTTCCATGAACTTGTTTTAAAATTCTCAGGGGCGGTCAGCACTTGAAAAGTTAGTAGGTACTGGTCGATAGTTCATAAATAGAATCTAAATGTCATTTTACAAAAAGCGCTCCATTAGCACCCTATTGATACATAGGTTTGCGAATAATCAATTTGTAAACGGTCAAATGTCCGGTAATATTTGAAATTTTCAACCACTCTTGACTAGAATTTCAGCACATACTGGAATGAATCACTGATAAATGACGAAATGCATTTATGTCCTTTTCAGATGAGTAGCAAATATTTGCTGTTTTTATTTCTGACCTGTACTTACTTTCTTGTCTCAAGGTAAGGTACGTCATCGACCAACGCGTTATTCCTCCGCTTTGTAAAATGTTAAATACCAGAGATGTCCAGGTCGCTCAAGTTGTTTTGGATGGAATATCAAATATATTGGCAGCAGCTGGCGATAACTTGGAACAGGTCACAACTGCAATCGAAGAATGTGGTGGGTTGGATCTTATCGAAGCTCTTCAAGAACATACAAATATCGATATATATCGTTTGGCATATGACATAATCGAACGATATTTTAACGAAGGGGTAAGTTATATTTTTGGGATAATTATCGCCTCAAGCTCTATGATTAGCATAGATGGTGTATCTATACAAGAAATTACTTGATTTATTGTCAAACTTTGTTGTAATCTTATCCACTGAAAAACATACTATTAATATTCTGATAAACCAATACTAAAAGAAATAGCATAAATAGTCGTGTCTAGAAAGCTACTAATATTAGCTCATTTGTTGTAGGTTAAACTTCAGGAGTTCTGTACGGGGCTTAGGTTAATGAAAAGACACTCATCGTAACCTTGTTGTTAAACATATGAATAAACAGCAATAAAATGCCTTACTCCTGAGCACCTAGAAGCTATTATTAACAGAGTTCTTTTTAAAAATACTTGGTTCTCAGGTAACTGGTATTATTTTGTATTTTTCAACCGAAGTAGTTAGAATGTTGGCCTTCAATGTCTAACCTGGAGTTTTTGTAAGAATCTCCGTAGATTTAAACGACATTCCCCAGTTTCATTGAGTTTACCTGAACTTATGATTCACGCTTTTAAAATCATGCACCAATCCATTGTTGATCAGAATAACCAAAATATTTAGAAATTCATGGTAAGGATTTCTCACTCCCAAAAATAACTGATGAGCTCTGTTTTCAGAAAATCCATCTATTTGTTTGTGGAGCACCCTCTTTCTTCAATTGAATGCTTTTTCATTATGGATTCACTAATTTCGATACATGTAATTTTTTACTATTTACAGATGATTGACGATCCAAATACAACTGGGGTTGCTGAAGATGAACATTTGGGTGATTTTATCTCGGTACCACAAGTTCCAGCTACTTTCCAGTTTGACGCTGATCAGTGTAACACTGATGCTACTAGAGGGTTCGATTTCTAGTTAATTAACGTAGCCGCTATAATGTAATGGTTTATGGAAGTAAGATTTTGGTCTTTAAATCACTTAGGTTATTTCCTTCGTATTAATTACATCAGTGCGTGTCACAATTAATATTTTGACTTTCATTTTATCATCCGTAGTTTATACATTATCTATGGCTCAAATTATTTTGATATGCTCCGACCTTCAATGGAATTCCGCTTGTTTATTACCTTTCACAATGCTTTCCTTTCTCACGATCCGTAACAGGTCTTACATTCATATTTTCATAAATTCTTGCCTTTGATAGCCAACCTAGTAGAATGATCTAACAACCGCCCCTCCTGTTTTGCATTTAATTAAAGCCGTTCATGCGGTTGTTGCTGTACTGTTCCATTCCTCTTAGTTCTCAACCATTAGAACAAAAATCTTTCTATTTCGTTAGCTCATTCGTTTTTGTTTCACATTTTATCCATCCAAGATTTTGCTCCAAGGTCCCCGTCTGTTGCATTGCTAATTCTTCAGGATTTTCCTTAGATTCATTTTGTATGTCTGTATAAAACTTTATGGTTGCCTTGGCTGTTTGCCTATTCCTATTTATTTATTTATTCATGATTGTTTGGTTTTATCTCACCTGTTTTTTTGATCATGTTAGTATGTCTTCCTAGTTTTTTTCATTTTGGGTTAACTCAATACTATCGTAATGAATTGTTTGAGCTAACCTTTCAATCAGTCTGAGTTTAGCCTTCATTTTTTTCACCAATCAGATTCTCAATTTTTCCTGGTGTGACTGTGTAACTTATTACTTTGCCTTTGTCTTTCGGTACCTCTGTACCTATTTGCCTTTTCTGTGTATTTGTCCATTGCACTACCTTCTTTTGGTCTTCCGCGTTACTATTGATTTTGAATTTCCGAACTTTTGTGGCATGTCTGTGATCTTTAAATAGTATTGTTTGGTTCCACTCTATTTCTCATTTTAGTCGTTTTACTTAGCCTTTGTTATACTGAGTTCATCTGTTTTTGGCTTCTACCTTGTCTTTCTTATCTTCCGTCTCTAAGATTTTTGTGTTCAACAAAATGAATACCTTTCTTGGTTTTTACTGCTGCCTGTCTGTATATATCTTCTATTTTGTCCCCAAGCATTGTCCTTTTCAAACTTTCCATTCCTATTTTGTCTTTTCGGGCGGTTGTGTATCTATTTTTGCCATTTCTAATTTTGCTTCACTCATATTTCCTGAACTTTTTTCTTCGAAACTACCAAAATGCTAAACACAGTTTGTTTACCTGTCATTAAATGCGCAGGACTATGTCGGGAGTTGTACGCAAAACGTTTGTAATCGATTTCACTGAACTGTTAATTGTTAAATACATGTGTTATTGTGAGTAATCCTTAAGTATGTGGTTTTATTACATTAAGTGGTTAACGTTATGGTTCACTTCTCAGTCATGAAAACCTTTTTGAACTCCCATTTTATCTTTAATACTCAACTCCACTTGATGAGCGAATTTTAATCATGTGTTCGCTAGTAACTAACCTCTAGTTCATTTGCTGAAGTTCCTGTGGAAAGTTGTCGGTGGAGTTCATCCGAATCACCAATGACTCGGGGTTGTAGTTACGTCATGTCGCGTATTGGTTGGTTAAAGGTAAACCAATTGATATCAACTCAGTAATCTCAAGATAATGTTTTCCACAAGATACATCCGACGAATCTCAAACCAGAATGATACGGATGTTCAATACTCCCTGAATCTCAATTGATTCCAATACATGACGAAAAACCCATAAATGTTATGAAATTAGGAATCCTCTCTAGAAGTTATGTCGAAAAGAATTTCTTAACGAAATGTGATGAAGTTATCTTAGTGGTTTTCATTTGGTAATAACGAGTTCAACCAACTATATGTATACGAAGGGTATGTAAGTGGTGATTGATCAAGAGTGCTTAATTATTGAGTCAAGCTCCTTAAAATGAATGAATAACAGGTGACAACAACTGATCAGTAAAATGACATTAATATTTTATAAGATACGAAAAAAGCACTTCTAAGTAATTTAAAGTATCTATAGGCTACATATTTTTAAAGGTCACACATCCCCAACGGTTCATCGAAAAATGAAGTCCTTCATTCACGATACTGATGGCAAACCGAGTATGGATTTTAGTGTGTATTAAATGCTGGTCAGGTCAAAAGGTGTTGATAAAGTGATTCTAGCGTTCATTGATTTATGTTACGGAAATTTCTTGTATGACAGCCAGTAGCTATCTAATAACCCATCTGTGATAAGGAATTGTTTTATTAGGTTGATACGCTGCGCAGAATAATGAGTCCACACTACTGACCAAAATTTGGCTTTATTGCGTCGTTGACGGGACATTATCACAAAAATAAAACCTTCAATGTAAATATCGAAGTAGTAGAGATAGTACAAAAATTAGGCATAAAGGATATCGTTCGAGGAGTGAATTTGAGTAATGAAAGTTATGAACTTATTTAAAAATCCAGTATTTAAGGGAAAACAGTGAATGTGCCTTCATCATTGTAACTGAACCTAAGTCATGTCACTCAGCGTCTTCAACTAGTGTTTACAATAATGATACGAACCCTAGCGGAGTAGTCTGCACCACCCAGTATAGTTCAATCCAACAGTTAGTGGCTTTACTCACTAATCATACATCTTCGTTCGGTTACCCCTAATCTTCCAACCCTCTTCTACGCTAGCCAACATTGTATTTGGGATGAATTTTATTTGTATAACAATAGATCTGTTTTAGCTATTACTTAAGCATGAAAAGAACTGTAGAAAAGTAGCTTAACAACCCCCAAAGAATAGTGGTGCGAACAATTGTTTATAATAAATACGTCATCGGTTATAAGTTAATTATTGTGTTATTTTTGCGAAGGTTAATGAATTAGACAATATTATATGCTAAAAATTCCGAACTTGTACATTTGTAACGACATGAATACTTCAAAACTGTGTCATTTGTAAATTAGAAGTAATCGGAAAAGAATTACGTGAAATGAGCAAATAAGAATAAAAAGGTAGAAAATTAATTTTCACTGAAAAATGATGTTTCACTGATTAATTTCACTATGGTGTACTACTACCGTTAGCCATTATACTCAAACTTTACTTAGCATCTGTAAACAACTGAAAACACATATATAATATTTTACCAGCCAAACAAAGTTAGGAACTAATTCTCGGACACAAACAATTTCCCATTTGTCCCTGTCCACATTGATAACTGCATCATGTAGAAACCTGTCATGGAAATCTATCATAAAACAGCCTTGATGACCTCAGAAGTACATAAACCTTGTGAAGGCTCTTTACTCGAACACTACTAGTCGAGTCAGGGCTTATGGCGAACTGTCATCTACTTTTGCAACCTCAAGTGGTGTCCGTCAAGGCTGTCCACTTTCTCCATTTCTGTTTAACTTCATCATAGACCTATTGATGGAAATAACACTCGTCGATTGAATTCTCGGGTATTGATCTCCTTCCAGGAGGTCCACTTATCGACTTAGAATACGCAGATGACATAGTCCTGTTTGGTGAAGACGCTGACAAAATGCAGAGTCTTCTGGCAGCACTAAGCAACAATGCCAGAATGTTTGGGATGCGCTTCTCTCCCTCTAAATGCAAGTTGTTGCTTCAGGACTGGTCTGGGTCAACACCTGAACTAAGAATAGGGAGTGAAGTAGTTGAACGCGTTGACAACTTCACTTATCTTGGAAGTCTGATCAGCCCTAATGGGTTGGTGTCGGACGAAATCTCAGCACGGATTCGAAAAGCTCGCTTGGCTTTTGCCAACTTACGTCACCTTTGGCGAAGGCGAGATATCCGTCTATCATTAAAAGGACGAGTATACTGCGCGGCAGTTCGTTCTGTTTTACTTTACGGCAGCGAAACATGTCCCCTAAGAGTAGAAGACACCCGTAAGTTACTAGTATTTGACCACAGATGCCTTAGAAATATTGCTGGCATCTGCTGGGATCACCGGGTAAGTAATAGTGAGGTTAGACGCAGGGTATTAGGGAATGATGGTAAATCAGTTGATGAGGTTATGAATCTTCATCGACTGAGATGGTTGGGCCACGTATTACGTATGCCTGAACACCGATTACCACGACGTGCAATGCTAACCGGGGTAGGGGATGGTTGGAAGAAAGTTAGGGGCGGCCAAACCAAAACGTGGCATCAGTGCCTGAAGTCACTAACTTCTAGTCTGAGCCATGTTGGTAGATGCAGATTACTTGGTTGGGGTCCGCGTGACTTTCGTAACCAATGGTTGGAGACTCTTGGTGACATGGCTCAGAATCGATCACAATGGCGTCGGTGTATACACTCCCTGTCTTCCCTTAAACTAAGAGACTAAAATAACTTCATTCTTTCTGTCTACGAACTAATTCTTTCTTCCTATACTATATCCTTATTGCAACCTTTGACCTAACCACTCCTATGAATCTGCTGTTCATCTTGCTGTGCTAATGAGGTATGGCAACCTGGACCGATGCACATATGTGCCTGGTCCTACGTTGTAGCTGACTGACTGACTTGATGATCTCTAATTATGTTTAAATGCCAAAACCTAGTCTGGGTCGAAACGGATATATAGTTATTCCAACCTGTTCGAAAACATTGGTTCATTTCGACAATCAAAACATGAGTTAACCACTACAATTATTATTAAAGTTCAAGGATAGAACTACTATAGAAAGTATAATACCAAACATCACATCATATTAGCTTTTTATGTTCCGAATTAATTCATAAATTGATTATCAGTTTAAAAGTACTCTGAATCGTTACCAACATCATATTGATAATCAGAATAGTACATCCAAATTATTTTAGTTATATTTTTCCATGTTTATATAATTTTCTCCAGTTTTTTCCTTGGTTTATGAAATCATAACTAAATATGAAAATGAAGACAACATATCACTATAAAAATCAATTAAACATTGATTAGTTTCAATCAGTCTAAAATTCAATGTTTGGAATGGGTTAACTCAGAATTCTTCAACTAGTTCGTTTCATTAAGTAAATAAGTGTTATTTCCACTGTGGGCAAAATAGCAGTATGTGTTAAGCTCATTTTAGGATTCATTACCTACATGAAGTTTGTTCCTTTCGATCTAGTGACTACTATAACATCAGTGAAAAGCATAAATGAATTGGTATCAGAATTGGGTTTTGTGGAGATTGCAGTAATTTCAATAGTTGAGATCATGGGTTAATTAAAGCTAGACTACCATGGAAAACCTGGAAGCAGTGAACGACCGTTTCGTCCTATTGTGGGACTCTTCAGCAAATGAGCATCCACGATCCCACCTCGCGAGATTTCAGCCTAGGACCTATCAGTCTCGCGCGCGAACGATTAACCTTTAGACCACTGAGCCGGCCGACATCCAACGGTGTTAATGTCCAACTTCAACTAACCCACGAAATTGATAGGTCCTGGTTTTGGATCCTGCAAGTCGGGGTAGTGGACGTGCACTACTGAGGAGTACCATACTAGGAAGAAACGACTGTCCAGTGCTTCTAGGTTTTCCATGGTGGTCTAGCTTCAATTGATTCATGATATCAACCATAAATGAATTGTCGAAATTTCGTCCCGAATGTCTAACCAGTTCATTCTATCGGCAATAAATTCAAGTGATTATTGTCAATATTTGTTCTGTCACTCCACACTTTTCCTTCGTGATTTATTGTGTTGTGAGATATCTGATTCTGATGCTATTAAGCAGACATCCTATTCATGAGTGACAAGGACGTCCTATCGACCAACTGTATCAAAAATAACTAAACATTCAAATATACACCTATCTTTCCACTAATAACGTGTATCACATTTATTTCCTAAGAAAGAAAGCCAAATACCAGCCAGTCATACGCGCGTATCATTTATCCAATGTCAGATTAAGCCGCTGCATCATTATTGTTGCTAATCTTTTTAACACTAAAGATTTTGACTTGACTTTGTTTAGAAAGAAAATTAAAGCTTCATGAATAAACTGTCTAATATAGAGAAAACTTCATAAAAAATCACCGCTCTATCTCGTATATCTTTTCTATAATTTCAAATGAAACCCTGGTTCTTCATAACTCAATTAAACATATATATATATATCTGTGTGGAGACATACTGTTTTCAGATTATATGTTCGTTCTACTCTTTTTTGTAAGCACTAAGTGACATGTAGTTCATTCATTATGTATTAGTCTACATGTAATTTGAATACAACTACAACTCAGTATATTAAATTGGTATATTTAGAGTGTATAATCCCGCATTTACTTTTTGAATGCTATTATGTACTTGTATAATGGATAATTTCTTTAGAAACATACATTTTTTCCTTCTCTTCGCTTAGATTACA